GCTCAACAGCACTGTGGCTCTTAAACTATCTTTCCAGGCTATGAAAAACTCTTCTGACTTAGTGGAGCACCACCTCCTTTCCATTATTTGTGATGCCTGCTTTAGGGAGCGGAGCTGCGAGCTGTACCATGGGGCTAGCCTCCTCTGTTTCACTACCTTCTTTTTTCGAGGGGCAACGGTATCAAGTGTATTATGCAGGAAGGCTGCAGTACTATCAACAAGATTATCGATTTGTGTGGGAGTAAAGTTAAGGTGGCCTCTTTCCACTGTGTTGGCAAACAGCACTGAAATCCAGTGTAACAGATAATAATTGTATATTTGGTGCAGTACCTGTATGATAAGGATTATGTTCAGACAAGGCTATTTGTATAAACCGTGGCCTAAACAAAAACACGACTCTGCAGTGTGAATACAGTACTTCAGGCAGTCACCCTCTGGTTTGTGTGTTTTGAGAACAAAGTGACATCTATTGGTGACATCGTGCAAATCAAGGAATAGCTATTTAATGAGCGTGTTTAGTGTGGAATCTAGACATGCCTTAGGAGAAGGGGAGCTCACTGAAGGCTTACGTTAACCATATACCAGCTGAATACCATTCTGCTGGTGGGGGCACAGTTCTGAGTGCCTACATCTGTATAGATGTATGTATGATGGATAATGAGCCTGGTGCTCCAAACATGGAACATTTACCTAAAATTCCACCTGACATCAACTTCCCATACTATATTGTTGTCTCAGTGTTCTCGATTTTAGTGTGGTATTTTGGCAGTGAAAAGTTACTTTGTAGTGCATCTCTAGTTGCCTTTGCTGCTTTAGTTGCAACACAGTAAGGTAGTCATATGAGTAGGGTGAGTGGGACTTTGCATCAGAGTTCACTGTAATATCAGCATCACTGTCCAGCCAAGCAGAGAGAAACAAGGAGTGAGAAGCCACTAAGTGTATTCATGGCCTTGTCAGAAAGCCTTTTAGGCAGACCGTCCAGCATGAATGCAAAGTGGCCGCAGTCATAAAGTGGGTCTGATGTGAAATAAATGGCTGTCACTCTTTTGGCTTTTAGGATGAGAGAGGGTGAGAAATGGAGAGGTGGGAGGGAGAGAGAGAGTGAATGAAAAAAGAGAAGGAATGAGAGAGAAAGTGGCACCCCATGAAGTCAAATAAAATAGTGCATTGGACAAAGCTGACCCTTTCTGCGACACTGAGGGAGATGAAAGCGGATTTTGACAAAATAATTTCTTTTCATCTCTCTGTCTTTCTTCTATTCAGTCCTCTGCCATTTGCATAGTTTTTATGCCCCTCTATTGTATCTGACCTCTCCCTCCTTCCATTTTGTATTTGATCTCCTGTTTGGTGTTTTCTTCTTTCATATTAAAAGATAACTACATGTGCTTTTGTTTTTCATTATAAAATCAGCAGGACAAAAGACAGTAGAGGAGAAATGAACTTTTTTACCTCACTCACCAGGAGCTAGGAGACTAAAAAAGAATTACACAGGACTCATCAATTTACTACTATAATATAATCATCATATTTTAGAGAAATAGTTCAGTGTCCATTTAAGCAGTTAATGTTCAATTTGTGACATTTATGTGTTCAAAAAGTTCAGGATGTTATCAAAAGACAGCCAGTTCCTGGTAGATTCTAAGTGCTTTATTTTCCTGCCAATGCAATTTCTACGTTGTCTCATTTGCAGTCATTATGCAATTTTCCTCGGACGCCTCTACTTTTGTTTGCAGATTGGTGAGTTTGGTATTTTCCTGGCATGAATGACTGCACTTATGCTAAGGTGAAAGGAGAGGTGCAGTTGAGGCCATGTGTATGCTACTTTGGCAGTACAGTGCAATGTTGGTGCTTGTTTTGACCCAAAATAGCAATAACATTAACACCCGCTCAGACCAACTCTAATCTCATTTGCAGGTGCATTTCCAATTTTCCTGATAATCGCTTAGGCTGGGAAGCATGATATCAAGTACCCAAATGTATTTTAATGGCCACACCAACTTAAAAAGAACCCTTAAATCCACAGCTGATGTACTGGAATTCACCCTGAATAGTTTATTGCATATTATGAAGATTATTTTTAAATAAGAAAAATAAACCAGTCCTCAGTATGTGGCTCTAGATATGAATATGGTCAAACAGTGTTGGCACACGTCTGAACGCACCATCTGTAGCCTACTTAAAGGATGCAGCCAGAGGTAATCTGCAGTTGGTGTTTGAGAATCCAAATCCATGTTAAAAAAATTACATATAAAAACACATGAAAGCAGCTCATGAGCCAAGATAAATAACAAACACCATGCAGACTTCCTGATTTTTCCTGTTAGGCAGCAGGTAAAGTCAGTCTGACCTCACTGTGCACTGCTGTCACTGTTAAGTTACAGTTTCTTCAACCGAGCAACCTTGAACCTTCATTACTACTGTGGGGATATGCATTGTGTCTCTTTTTGCATTTTATGACTGTTTAATCATCTTTGAAAGCAACTGTAGGTGGAGAATAAAGTAGATGATACATCCACTACCTGTGTGCTCTGGCCGTCCACAGTCAGCTTCAAGACAAACACAGTGATTACCATATGATTTTTAAAACAGTGAAATGTTTATAAAGTTACATGCAAGACCCCCGTTGATTTCTTGTACTAGATGCAGCTGTGAGTAGATCACACTGTGTAATTGCTGCTGGTTACAGGACCAGAGAGATCTTCCGCGCACAAAAGCTGGTCAGTAATATTAGCAGACTGCTGAGTCAGTATTTATGGGTGGTACTTCTACATAAATAGTTTTGTCACTGTCATTTTAAGAATGGAGTATGTAACTGGCAGGAGAAGAAGATATAGGGAAATCCTTTCCTAAATACATATGATATCAGTCAGTCAGGATCTTCGCCCTGCAGTTCACCTCTGGCTGCATCCTTTAAGTACAGATGGTAGATCCTGATGCACACCAACGCTATTTGACCATATTCATATCTATAGCCATATGCTGAGGGCTAGTTTGTTTTTCTTATTTAAAAATAATTTCCATGATATGCAATAAATTATTCAGAGGGAATTCCAGCAGATCAGTTGTGAATTTATGGGTTAATTTTAAGTTGGTGTCTATTAAAATCCATTTGGGTACCTGAACTAGTGCATCCCAGCCTAGGCACTTGTCAGGGAAATTGCAAAGGCACCTGCAAATGCAATAAGGTGGTGTGAGCAGGTGTTATTGTTATCACTATTTCGGGTAAAAACGAGCACCAAAATTGCACTATTCTGCCTAATTAACATACACATGGCCTAAACTGCGCCTCTCCTCCCACCTCAGCGTAAACACATTCATTAATGGCAGGAAAATACCAAACACACTAATGCGCAACAAAAAGTAGACATATGCCCAAGGAAGGTTGCATAACGACTGCAAATGAGGCAATGCAGAAATTGTGCTGGCAGGAAAATAGAGCCATATGAGTTTTATCTCATAAGACAAATTGGGGTGACGGTCGATGCTTGATGCATATTTTGTTTGCTTTTGTTGACCTCGATTTTGGAAGTGGAAATAGAGGAAAAATATGTACTGAATTTAGTTCTAAGCCACAAAAATACAGTGAAAACTATACCCAAATATATCACACCATTTTGAAATGTTTAGAATTTAGTACACATTCATATATTGTTAGTTTGACCTCATGCCAGAGCTCAATAGTCATGCATATTGCTATTTTTGTAAAAGGTTAGTTTACATTTTCACGAAACACTATATACCTTTATCACTTGTCTGCAAATGCGCTTTATGTGTTTATTTCCGTATAACCCTCTGATTAAAGCAACCTTGTGTAAACATGGACACTAGGGTAGTCATATAGTAAAAACACAATTTTTAGAGGCCACGGCATGCTTTTCCTTGTTTTCTGGCTTATCTGTAGTGTTACAGCGGTGAAATCCTAAACGTGACCTGTACGTGACCTGTTTTCTAGTACTTCTATGCAGAAGCAACTCGCTTTATACAAGTCTTGCAAACTCTTGCTCACGATACTTTTTTCCTGCAATGTAAATTCTAACGTGATAGTTTAAGGATTTCCTTGAATGGCCATAATTGCCAGGCAGTTTTGCGTTCATGTGAGCTTGCCTGACATCCACAAGTGCCATTATAAAAGTGGAATTTTTCGACTGCCCGTGGTTTTGTGGATATATTTTACCTCCTGCTGCCTGCATTGTGACCAGAGGATGTGGAGAAAAATATAAGGCCTGAGGTTACTGCATGTCCAGGAACATTCCTGTACAGGGACTCACGGTTTTACCTCACCAGGTCTAGCTTAGGATCAGCTGGCTAGTGAAGCATCCCACAGCAGTGAATGATCAGCTCATCAATGCTGGATTCCCCTGGAGCAATGTCTGTTAATGCTTTGTTTTTGTAACATTAGAGAGAATTGGTGTAAGGCTGGAGAAGTTACTATCCCTACAATATTCCAGTTAAAATATGGGGTTTCTCAATTATCCGCTTTGTTTAGAGTGTTACAAATCTCTTTTCATCTGTACATATACCATTGTTTACCTATCTAAGGAGGAGAAATTCTAATAAATTAATGCTATTGTGGTTCGTTGTGCTGTTCATTTTCGACACAACACCGGCAGCATGAGGTGTGTGTGTTCACTAACTGTCCTTTTGTTTTTAGGAATAGGCTCTCTGGTTTTATCCTTCTGAAATATTTACAGACTATTTTGAGTTATGATGGGTGCAAAGCTAATCAGGAAGTTCCCAAGATTAAACATTAAATGGCTGGAAATGAGTATTCCATGGGCACTTTAAAAGAATGCATTTGACTCTAAAAAGCATTTTCTCCTTCTTCTTCTTCACAAAAAAACAAAAACAAATGAATTTTCTGAAGCACAAACAAATTACATTCTTCAGAACGGGGCCTTAACCTCTGCACCATATGTGAACACATCTCTTCCTTCATCCATCTGTCCGGCTTCCTATCTCTTTTTCATCTGTCTCTCACCCATTTCTGCTTCCCTTCCTAGTTTGACCACTCATTTGTGGAGGTCCACCGGGTGAGGATGTTTCATTTCCAGCCACTTTACCAAGAGTCGATTTCACTGGACGATCTGAACGAGACTCCAAAGAAGACAGGCTGCAGTCCCATGTGCCCTGCTCCAACAGCCTGCAGCTACAACACTATCTACAGCAGTTGGACCTGTGATGGAGAGATCCTGCCTCACGCTGCCATCCAAGTCAGGTACTGTATCTAATCACAGAATCACCTGTGAATGTATAACTCCAAAAGTAGTAGTTAATTCATACAACTTAGACCAAGCTTTTCAGTGTTTTGTTAGAAATAAATGGCAGCTAATACTGGAAAAAAAGTACTGTTATTTACTTGTAATTATGAATGTTTGCCTGTGTATGACTTTTTAACCCTGTGAAATTCAAACAATCATTTGCTTGCTGAAGACAGCCACAGTTCAATCATTATTTTATATTTTGCCTGCTTCTTTTGCATTTGGGGGCGACTGTGTTTCAGTGGGTAGAGTGGTTGTCTTCCAACCGGAGGGTTGGTAATCTTAGTAAACATTACAACAGCTAAACATCACCATAGTAGAATTCTCACTCTGAGCATGTTAGTATGCTGATGTTAGCATTTGGTTTAAAGAACTCTTGTACCTTGACATTTTGGTAACAGAAACAGGAAAAAGTGATGTGCAGCATCTGTAAAAATGGAACGGGGCAATATCAAGGAACAGTAACGGGTGCTGATGCTTAGTATTAACTGGTAATACATGGTTAGACAGTAATGGGAGCAGCAGTACCATTAGAACTGCTAGTATCTGATCAAGAGACTTTCACTTTTCCCTGCTGGACAATCTTGGCAACTTGGTGGAATCAGTCCCCCTCATTTTTCTGGCTGTGTCCACACTTCAGCTTCCCCCACTATCAGATCTCTATACAGCCAATGTGGCACTGCTTGACGCATCATTTATTTCATGCTCCATTGTACTTTGCCAATGATGCATGGCACTGTAATGTTGCTAATTTAATGGCCCTTCCTATGTTAAAAGGCTACTCCCCTTTAATTAAAGCAGAAATCTGTCCTTTTATTACCCCTTCCTCTTCACTAATCGTTCTTGGAGTGAGCCATCCAGAGTGCTCCTTGGGTAATTAATGGTAAGAGCCCAGGTGAAACTGAAAAAAAGGAAGAAATGTTGAAGAATTTTGTTTTAGAAGAGAGAAATACACATTTGAAAGTGAAACTCAAGGCACCACAATGAATGAGCCTAACAATTAAGAAAAGTGAGAGTCCACTCAAGTAATTACATGCTGCTTCCTTGATAGTTACTCTGTGTATTGTATTGAACTTTTGGTGTTTTTGTTTTATATATGAATAGCATTCTGAAAACAAACCCTTTACCCTAAGGTTAAAACTGTATGTTTCCATGCAGTTCCATTAAATTAACTTCTGGTAAAGTAAATAAACAGTATTTCAGTAAAAAATACAGATGGCATATACTGCTGTAAGCATTTGTAGAGCATTTTTTGTTCTTTAGGCTCTGTGCTTCTAGCTTATATCTTCTATATTTCCAACACCATTCTTTCTATACTTTCTCAACTTAAAGCTGAGATTGGGCACATTAGTGGTGTTTCCATTATTTTGTTTTGTTTTAAATTGACTGTACTAGAGAACAAAAAAGTGTAACTGTCCAAATACTTATGGCAGTAGTTTTTTTCTGTCCATGTACTTTTACTTTATATACTTCAGGAACTGTTATGCATATCATTAAAATGTGTCAGCCCCATCTATATAGCATGTGCTAAAGCTACGTTTTAGCAGGCCTTTATACTTTACACACCACAAAGACACTCACTTTCAAGTTTGCATGTCAAGTCTGCACTTCCATTGCTTTTTACATCTGCCTCATGGACAATAACATCTCACTGAAATGAGCATAGTCATTAAGTTGATGGTTTGTTATTCAGGCTAAATGATGTGTTGTGTGTGTGTGTGTATGTGTACTGTGCCTCCCTGCAGTGTCCAGTGCCAGTTGATCCGCCTGTTTGCCCGCGGTATCGAGGAGCAGTAGCAGCGGTGTGCTTCTGAAGTTCTCACTATACACAAAAGTGAAATTGGAATGAATCTTGAGATGTGATTTAACTCCACCAGCCATATAAGAGGAAAAAAATACAGAGAGATGTTACATCACATGATTTCCCGAAGACCAATAACTTCAGCTGCTGCCTTGCTGTCATTTGGGGCTGTTAATGTGCAAAACTGCCGCATGCAGGGGCCCGTTTCAAGAAGGAGGTTTAACAAACTCAGAGTTCAAACCTGAACTCTGAGTTGACTTACACAGAGTTGGAAAACTTGGAGTTTTTGGTTTCAGAACAGCTGAAAAGAGTTGGTTTAATCAACTCTGAGTAGGTTGACTCAGAGTTAGGCGCGTGCAGCGCGACTATAAAAAGCCCTGAACAATGGAGTGAAGACATTACGAGTCACCATGGCAACAGGACCAAGCAAAAATAGGTCTGCGTTTTTTCCCCGACAGAAATGGATGTGCTACTACAAGCATATAGTGACTACGAGCCCATATTTCATAAAAAAAAAAAAAAAGCAACACGGCTGCAGCGGC